GTTGGATATCGGGTGTGGTGGTGAAGAGGAATCGTGGTGAGGTGGAGAAGATGTGGAACTGGAAGAAGGGAGAAGAAAAATTCAGGGTGGAACTGTTTGGGCTCCAAAGGGCGGATTATGAAGTGCAAGCGCAATCACAAGAGACGCAGATATGCAACAGGAACAAAACGTAAAATAGAAAATAAAAATAAAGAGTATGACTTTCTTTGAAGGGGATAAAATAGATAAATATTCAGCAATCGTGATGTCGTCTAGACATACCTGTGTGTGAAGCTATCGGTGTTGGAGGTTGGTTGAGAGGACGCCGGAGAAGACAAGCCCAAGGAATGTCAAGGAGTCAACTACGGAATAGTTAACTATGGAGAAGATCGATGACCGAACCAATTTTCCTGTGTTTAATTAAAGAGACGAAAAAGGACGACAAGAGTTAAGAGTAATCGAAAGCAAGAATATCTTTTTACAAAATCAAAAGTATAATTAATACCTTCAGCAGCTTCGTTTCATCTACGTTTGGAGATTACACTACATGTCCTGTGTCTTTAGAGACCACAGATTGAGATGAAGCTGGCAGCTTTGAAGCTACCGATTCAAACCAGCAGCCTCATTCTCCGCCAGACATATGAAGATGGTTGTGATTCAGTTAGCTACCATACGTTGAGGCTGTAAAATTTCGATTCCATCAGGCACAAAAAGGTTATCATCAAAAGGCATAACCACAATCCATGGTTCCGGGTGATGTTAAAAGATAAGACCAACCAACCAGACAAGCGGTGACTGATCAATGGATTGATTGGATTCATCCCACGCACTCACGGGTTAGAGCTAACCAGGGAGCAATGGGGATTCAAGGCAGTTGAAGCACCCAAGAGCATACATATACATCCAACAGAATCCAAGGATATGCTTGGTGGCAGTTACGTACAGCTCACGGGCAATCGTGGCACCAACTAAGGACATCGTTTGTGCCCTAGATGGGGCGGCGAAGGGAGAGACTCCCGAGGTGAGCATGAAAAGTGTACGGATGGATGTGTTCATGCCTGAAACAACGCATTAAATAGCAATGCTGTCGCAGGAGACACGTTCAGTGGTTGGATTGATCGTAGAAGAGAAGTTGAGCACAGTTGAGTTGGGGTTGATCAGAGAAGATGAGAGAGAGCGACGTCTGGTAGCTAGGAATTATCGCACGCAATGCATGAGCTCCAAGGGGGGGCACATCGCCCCGTGATATCACTAATTTATCCAGGATTGATTGTGGCTGGTGTTGAAACTGTCGGTTAGTTAGTTAGCTAGTTAACTAGTTAACTATCCTAATGTTGGAAGTTTGATATTTAGCTTCCCCGCATGGATTGCAATTCAAAACATATTCGCAATGGTCTTGTATTCGATTTAAAATTCTAACATCTCTATGTAATTTAATTCTAATTTGTTTAAGAGAATTAAGAATTACTATATTAATTCTAATGCAGTTGCTATACGATCTCGAAACAACTCTTCCTTTCCTTCAGCTTCCAGATGCCAAATCCTCCCTGTAACTAACCCCGCTCAGATCTTCTGGAGGTTGAGCTAGAAGGATGAAGCGGCTATGTGACGTCTTAATCAATTAGATGAAGTTCTTTCTTCAGCAGGAGGATTCTTTGAAAATGCATATCTACTAATTGAACAGAATCCCCACCAGGGGAGCTCTATGAACGGACCTGGCTCTCTCCGATAATCCTATACTACCTCCTCCCCTCTTCCCCGGCAGAGGTGTATAGAGCGAATCTCAAAGGCCCAGGGAACAATGCAATTGGAATTCTTCCGTTTCTTTCAGATCTGTCCTTTAACAGACAAAATATCCCGACCACCAACCCTCTCCTCCCAGGGGACGTAACCATCCCCTACTGCAGATATCCCTCTCCACTTTTGCATTCAGACTCTGGATCTCATGAAATCCTCAACTGAAAAAGGTGATCTCATCTTTCCGTTTACTGCTCGAGAGATCATATCACGACTACCTGAACCTTTTACTAACCTAAGATGCCTTGCAGCGGGTTGCCGCGTAGTTACCTACAGGGTTTACGTCGTTTGAACCGGAAATCCCTTCGTTGGGGAGACCTCGTGGAGACCTCGTGGCAGGGAAGAATACTTGGTCAACTAACTCTCTTTCTTTTCTCTCCCACCCCGGCAAAGCCAACGCTATCCTCCCCAGCTACTTCACTGCCTAGTTCCACAGCACCATCCGCTACCGCCTCCCCCTCTACGGCACCACCATAGCCACGTCCGCGGCGAATCGACTATTCCATGAACCCCAAGCCTTGCACGCATCTGGTGCGAGGACGTGGTATTGAGGCCAGCCTGAGCGTTTACAGAGCTGCATTTTCGTGTTCGTGCTGTTGGCTATGTATCCTGTCAGGGATATTTACGGAGGATCGGTCTGGGGGAAATAGTGTGGGGGGGGGGGGGGGGTGCAGAAGTGGTTGTATTGTTCATCGGGTGGGTTTGCCTGGCTGGAATGTGGAGCTAAGTGATTTAGTTAGGGAGATGGGATCAATTGCTGCTATGTTATAATAATAAAAATTCTTTTCATTCCATGAATTACGTATTATAAGCATGATGATGCATCTTCCCCCCTCTTATTTTTATTTTTATTTTTTCCCCCCATTTAAGCAAACTGATTCTCCGATCCATGGTGAGTAACTAACCAGTTAAAGTTCTATGACGTTTGCTTTCCCCAGCAACAAGCCATATCAACGTTTGGTTATATTTACACCAACAACCCACCCCAACCCCACAACCAAACATCCTTGCAACGCTGATACTAGCCTACCATATACCAGGACACTAGCAATAAGGAACAGCAACAGGAATAGATCCCCCATCTGTGTCCCCAATGTTCTAGGACCCCTTTCATATCTTAACATCCACCCAACCACCATGGCTTCCCAAGGGACATTCTCCGCCCCATACCTCCAACGCTTAGACTCCTCTCAACCACACATCTTTGCACTCCCCTCCAAAAAAATCAACGAGGGCAGCGATGTATCCGCCTTCCTCACCTCCCTGGCCTACAGGGATATCATGACCTTCATCCTCCAGCTTAACCGCGCCATGGTGCCCCGGAAAACCACCGACGAAGATGGTTCACCACGCGTACAGACATGGCCGCTGAACTGCGATGCCGTCGAGTTCTCGGAACCCGTGCGCCGTCTGCAGCTACTACTGTCCAAACTTGATTCGATAGTCGATGAAGTGCCACCGGACAAGGGGCCAAGGCGCTTCGGAAATGTCAGTTTTCGCAAGTGGTGGCAAGAGGTGGAAAGGCGGGCGCCGGAGCTGCTGGATGAGTGTCTACAGCCCGAGGTGCTGAGGCAGGGAGCCCAGGGTCCAGAGTCTGTATCTGTGAAAGAGGAGCTTACGGCCTATTTTACAGGGGCGTTTGGGAGTCCGCAGAGACTGGATTACGGGACGGGGCATGAGTTGAGCTTTGTGGCTTTTCTGGCTTGTTTGTGGAAGCTTAATCGGTTTCCGAAGGCGGGTCCGGGGGTGGAGGAGAGGGGCATTGTTTTGGGTGTTATTGAACCGTATGTTATCCTCTTATAGTAGAGCGATTAACCACGAGTTTTCTTTTCTTACACTACGCTCCCAGGAACATGATACTGACTTTTGGGCTGGCTGGATAGATATTTCGAATTGATCAGGCGTTTGATCAAGACCTATACCCTCGAACCAGCAGGCTCACACGGAGTCTGGGGTCTGGATGACCATTCATTCCTCCCTTATATCTTTGGATCTGCGCAACTATCACCTCCAATATCGGAGTCTGATAATACGCCCATTGAAGGTTCACTACCAAACGCTCCGGATCCGTCCGCCGTCGACAAGGCAAACATGGTGGAAAAGGAGCGGAAACATAACATGTATTTCTCAGCTGTCGGATTTATTTACGACGTAAAAAGGGGTCCGTTCTGGGAACACAGCCCGATGCTTTTTGACATATCGGGTATTCGAGATGGATGGGGGAAAATAAATAAGGTATGGAAGATACTTATTCAACTATTGGCCACCCAAACCCCCGAGGTTAGCTATGTCGTTCCACCACACTTACAGATACAAATACCAGGGTATGATAAAAATGTACAACGTGGAAGTCCTCTCCAAATTCCCCGTCATCCAGCATTTCCCCTTCGGCTCCCTTCTCCGCTGGGAACACGATCCCACCGCCACCCCACCTCCACCATCCGTCCACATCGCCAACCGCCAAATAAGACCTGGCGCAATGACCTCCCCTCCAACCGGAGAGCGTGAACAAATACAGACAAAGGCCCCCTGGGCGACCCCTGTGGGAGGAGGTATGGGTATGGGTTTTGGTTCAGGGCTTTCTATGGCCATGCCATCTGCTTCGTTACAGTCAGGTTACGGAACCTCGCGACCTCCTCTGACGAATACTACGGCTAGAGCACCATGGGGCAGTAATCGAGATCCTATTACGGGACAGCTACCGTCGGCTGATCCACGGGCGCCAACTCGGGCACCGTGGGCTGGTGGAGGTGGAGGCCCTCGGGTAGAGGCTAACTTCCCAACGAAGACGCCGTGGGCGAGGGGTGATGTTGCTGGTGGTGGTCCATGATGAGCTAGTGCTTTAGTTGGGAGTTGAGATTGTGGTGGGGAAGATCCGACCAAGTATATGTACTCTTTACGCCCCTTGAAGGGTGAGTTGATTAATCTATGAGTGAATGGTTGATGGAGTGATTTCTTGTATGATAGACGGAATGGAACGAATGGATTATATCAGTGATTACCTGGAAAATATGTGAACAAAACACATGAGACGAAATTTAGATACGACGTACACAAGTACACTCTGTTGTTATGCGTGTATATCTAGAGATCATCTTCCTATGTATAATCCAAAAAAGGAAAAAAAGCCCAAGGGTATCTCATGCTTTGCAAAGGCAATAGCTGTAACGTACGAAGCAAAATATGGAACATAGGAACGTAGAAGTACATGAGCAAAATGCCGCTCATTCAGAATCGTCAGACGACCCGTATCCCACCAACCGTATAGGTGATTCTCCCCTCAGAGGCATATTGGGAGTTTCACTATTCGTTACCGTTGCCGCTACCTGCCAGTTTCGATTTTTATTCTCCCCATCCGGAGTGCCACCATCACCATTGACCTCGCCTTCATCACCTTTATCATTCCCATTCTCATGTTTCCGTTCTTGAATTGGCTCTCCCCCAGCTCGTACCACGCCTGCAGATCTCGCAGTCCTCCGTTTCTTACCACCGGGCGTCCAATCCGTATCATCGTCCTGTAAAAACGGATCAACCGCTGCCCTCGTATTTCCACTCAACTCTTGCTGTAACAACGCCTTCCGCTGTGCCGCAACTGCTTCAGGCTTTCTGGCACGCTTCTCCTTCCCCTTCCCCTTCTCTCCCGGCCTTCCGCGCCCCTGATCCGGCGGCGTCTTTGCGATCGACTTTGTCTCAAACAACGGCTTCGAAATGACACGACGAGCTACATCCCCGCCGGCAATGCTACCAGGGTCAGGAGCAAAATCCACCATCCCGGTTCTCACCCGATCTCCCTCGGACTCCTCCAACAACTCAATCCCCAAACTCATCTTATCCCGCAGCGCCTCTGTGACTTCTTGAGCATTCTCCCGCCTCTTCCTCTCCGCACGAAACGCCCTCCTTAGTCTCCGCGACTGCTCATATGGATCCTCCCAGTCGCGCTCCTGCACCTTTATCAATTCCTCCATCCGCATCTTCTCCGTCATCACCCGCTTTTGATCCGCTACTTTCCCCTCCAGTTTCGCAAACGCGTCCTTCTCAGCTGCACCAACACCGCCCTCCCCGGCTTGCCGAAGCCGTAACCTGATCTCCCCATCCTCTTCATACCCGCCCTTCTCAAGCTCACCCGTATCCCTCCGCCGCCCGCCCTCCGTAACCACATAGGCCGTGTTCTGCGGATCAGTGCGAATTTCTATCCAGCCACCACAGATGGAGTGTTTCATGCGGAAGCTGTAAATCGGGGTTGAATAATAGTTCCCCACACGCTTTTTCAGCGCATTGAAGCGCACGCCCTGGCCTATCAAAACGGTGTCTGCTGGCTGGCAGGTGGAGCACCAAACGGCAAACGGCATTTCGAAGCGCACGGTTAGTTCGCCTGTTGTGTGTAGGTGGCGAGCGCGGGAGCCTAGAGGGTGCTTGTTGGCAAGTTTATTGCCGGTTGTGAGACCTTCTTGGTCCGGGGGGACATAGCTGGATAATCATGTTAGATTCGATGAGATGGGAAACTGGGTGATGTGAACGAACCGTCCCATATCTGGAGGGTGATGTTAGCAGCTGGACTACATGGTGTTTTCTTGGTGGAAGTCATAGAGCGCTTATTGTAAAACTTACTAAAGCCCTGCATACTGGCGGTCTATTGTCCAGAGACTGAGCTGTCTCTTCCCCTTAATTTCGCTGGAGCAAAGAAGCAGATCGATGATGAACTAAGCAGCAAGGAACAAGGCACTATTGCCAGTGTATTGACATCTGAAGTGGACATGAGACACCGCAGTTGAAAAGCACCTCCCACATCATAGAAAGCTATGTCTTGTACGTATTCTGATGTTGAGGTAAAAGAGAGCTGTCGTGAAGGGGACACAGAGCGTAGGTGTGTTGTATCACGTGACATTGTTAAAATGCGATCAACTTTGCATTAGTAATGGATGCTGCTATAACTATCTATCTAGTTCAACTATTAGTTACTAACTAGTTAGTTAACTCTGAAATCCCCATGACTCTGTCTGCGTAAAACATTGCCTCTCGATATTGGTCGCTGTAGGTATTCGACTACACTCTGCAAAACAGGAGTTCATCCTCAACTGCTTTGATTCTGCCATTTTCGGGGAAACGACCGCTGCGAATATGTTCAAATGCCTAAGAAATATTCAAAAAGGAGCAATGCGCATCCTCCTTTTGTCAAAACTATCTCCCGAATACCCGGGCATCTTCCATCAGGCTGTAGAGGAAACTTACTGGGGGGCCAAAAAACAAGATACAAGAATATAGAACATGTGTGGTGCCATTTATCTATTGATCCCCAGATCTATAGATGAGGCACCTACCTGCCTGTATTTTCACCATCCCCTTGTATGCAGCCCTCAGTGAGAGAAATATCTAACCCCGCCTTGCCGAAACTGACAACCATCCGACTTGAATACACTGGGCAGCCCCCAGGAAATCGTATTGCGATCCCCTTCACGATCTGTGAATACTTTCTTGCTCCAAGAACCCATAACGGAACATCATTCTTAGCCTTTCTGCATGGGACCTATCGGGGCGAGATTTTCGCGACAGTGTCAGATTCATCTACCATTGACGTACAAGCTAGTGTACCCACGCATTCCTGAACAAATCTACAAGATCAACACTCGTATGTGGTAGTTAACTATTATTGCATTCCGTAATGTAGGTGGTACTTTAATTTAGTATTAGTACCTCCACACCGCACGATGCCCCCAATACCCCTAATTCAGGAATAACGGATGCACACTGGATTAACAGTCTCGCCAGTCGGCACCCGCTTACATGAAATCGAAAGCTGGACGTAGCACGCTGAAGTAGATTGGCAGATCTCATCCAATGTCATAGAAGCTCTGGTGAGAGAAGGCTGGGGTTGATAGCAAAGATTTAATTGCATGACCCACAAAGATATAATCAAGAGACAGAGCGATTCCAACAACTAACTGTTGAGTGTTCCGGGAGATCGGACGGTTAAATAGTTATCAAGGCGAAGGTAGACCTCAGTCACGCGAAAAATAACACTTCCCATTAAAAAAAGCATTGAAGGGGGGGGGGGGGGGGGGATTTTTTTAATTTTAGATCGGATAGCACTGAAGAGAAACAGGGACTGAATGAGTATCACGATTACATTATAGATTTGTCCGCAATATGTTTTACACTGCCAGGAGCGGAAACTGCTGTATATATCAACCAGTATTACTCCCATAGATAGCACCGTGTTCAATGAGACACATTCAAGCATTCCCACACCTGCCCCCAATCTCACACACAACTCTCAAATCCTCCACGCTCTCCCCGACCCACAATTTGGCCCCCTGCCCAAGCTCCGGCACCCGCCAATCCTGCGTCTTCACATCCCACACACTCAAATCCTTCCGCGTAATCTCAAGACGCAGCACCTCACTCTCCCCCGCTTGTAGCACGCGCGTTTTCTCGAACTGTCTCAGCTGCAACCTGGGCGTATCGGAAGCTGCCTGGTCTGGCGGTTCGACATACAACTGAGCAACGGTACGACCGGCCACCTTGCCCGTGTTAGTGATTTTCACATCAACCATGAAGGCGATATCCCACAGGGCGGGGTTGCCACCCTCACCACCGCCAGCACGGGGAGGCCGTTTGGGTGTCGTGCTGTATCCTTCCGGGTATGGGTAGCCTTTTCCTGGCTTGACAGAGGAAGGGTTGTCGAGGTATGGGTAAAGATATCGCCAGATGCGGTTTAGCCCCTGTGGCCAGGCTACTTCATCCGCGGGTGGGATCGTGCTGGAGAATGTTGGAGGGGTGCCCCTGGCTGGTCTTGCTGGCGGGTACTCGGTGATTGGCGTGACAGCGATGGCATTGGGTTCGCTAAAGTCGAATGTCGTGTATGAAAGGCCGTGGCCGAATGGATATCGCGTGATTATGTTGTTCTTGATGAAGTGGCGGTAGTCGATGTAGAGTCCCTCCGTGAAGGTATCTTGGATTTGAATTCCGGGGTTGTATACGAGATTGACGCTTTCTGGATAGTCAGATTCAGCTTTTGGGATCGTGTAGGGCAAATGGCCGCTGGGGCTCTCGTCTCCGAATAGAATATCAGCGATAGTGCCGGCTTCCTGGCCCGGGAGATGGGCAATCAACACAGCTTTTACGGATGGTAAATCTATCCATTTCTCCATGATAATTGGACCAACAGTATGGACAACGACTACTACTTTGGAGAATACGCTCGCAGCGTCCATGATAAGTCTGTCTCCGTCATGCCAGGCATATAGACCGGCAATCGTTCGGTCACCTGGATTGCCTTCCACCATGATATAGTTCTCCCCAGAATCAGCATTGATGAAAACAATCGCAATCTCGTCAGATTTTGCCGTGAAATTGGATGGGAATGTATCTGTTAGATGGAACTCTGTTTTTGGCGATCTGGCCACGATAGCGTCTTGAGGTGTTATAAGATATGGGACATTGGCACTTCCGCTGCCCCATCCCATTGTCAGGACACCTCTATTGCAGCCTCTTTCAGCACAAGAGTTTAGTCCTTGTGGATCGGGCCCCGCGTCCGTACCGAATACCCTCAAGACAGCATTGGGGGCCAGAGGGAGCAGATTATCCTCATTTTTAAGAAGAGTAATAGCTTCTCTAGAGATGGCCCTCGCAGTGCTATTGTGGTCTTCTTGAACGTCGACAAACCGATTGACCACTCCAACTGGAGATAACACAGCACCAGGATACAGAAGATCGGTTTCTGCAGTCGTGTAGGTCGAGAAGTTTGGCAAGGGGAAGTCCTTGTCCTGACCCAACTTGAACCATGTTGCAACAATACGTGCAACCTAGGGCCAAAATCGTCAGATTACAATTCAAATATTGTGGACATTTCTCTTCCCCAAGGAATATATCGACGTACCATGTCATTCAAGCGTTCAAGAGGAATAGTCCCATTGAGAACTGAACGTGACAGTTCAGCAGCCCAGTAGCTATGCCCTAACAGGGGAGAAGCACCATCTCCAGGCATAGTCATATCCAAGCCCGCAAGAGCGGAAGAAACGCCACCGATGTGGGCAAACCAATCAGTCATGGTGAATCCTTGGAACCCAAGCTCGTCTTTAAGAATGCCACTGATCAAGTGGCTGTTTTGGCTGGACGAGGAGCTGTTAACCTGTAGATAATAAACAAGCAACGTAAGCTAGGTTTTATAACCTAGGATCGGGAAATTATCGTACGTCATTGTATGCCATCATTACCGCTCCCACACCAGCTCTAACTGACTCCGCGAACGGCCAAAGGTACAGCTCGTGCATAGTCCTATCATCAATGTTGGATGAGTATGGTTTTTGCAGGAAGCCAATGGGCTGGATAGGGAACACCATGCGGAACATTTCCTGCTCGTTTCCGACAAAATGTTTCACAGTTGCAATGACGCGTCTGCTTTGAACTCCCTTAATCGTGAGAGCACTGGCAATTCCCTGGAGAGATGGATCCATGCCAAACCCTTCCCAGTTGCGTCCCCCTCGGGGCTTGCGCCCAAGGGGACCAACTGATGGGCCTAAATAAATGTTTATCCCTTTGCCGCAAAACTCCTTGCCCAAGGCAACTCCGCGGTCATACATTAACTTCTTGTTGAATGTTGCCCCGACTGAGATACCAGCTGGGAAGGCAGTAATGTGGTCCGTGTTTCTGACGCCGAGAGGCCCGTCCTGGAGACAAAGCCTGGGGATTCCGAATCGCATTGCGCTCCCTGTCTGGCCCGCGCAGGGCCCCATTGCAAATCCAGTACCGGTAGTTAGATTCACTTTCTCAGCAAGCGTCATGTTGGAAACCACAGCTTGAGCCTTGGTATATGACTCTTCCCACTCAAGCACCCAGCCACCCACTGGAGATGGGTAGTATGGGGGAGACGTCCAGCACCTGAGACCACCCTGCCTGCTTTTGAGGGGTGGGGAGTAGCAGGTATCGCGGTCTGCAAGGGTGGAAGAACAACCCAGCATAGAAACCACAAAAAGGAACGGTTTAAAGAACGGCATGTCTAGAGGGGGAAAAAACACCCTTAGTCAACTCAGTGAGGGCGAATAAATGAAAGGAAAGACATATATATGTATATATTACATATGGAGACTACTCAGGTAGATATGTGCCTCTTGCCCAACAGAGTAATGAACAGAAAGTTGATCAATTATTATCACATAGCAAATGGATTCCCCTGCGCAGTGGACAGCAATTGTTATATCTATCATCCCGTTTTCCCGTTGATCTGCAGGCAACACAAGTTGAAGTATGCCTGTGTGGAGGAGCAGAGCGCCAGCTGCCACTGTTCAAGATCGAGCGACAGATGCTGGCTTGGACCTTGAAGCGCCGGCGAAGTGCCCAAATCACAAGATATCCCAGAAGCATTAATTGAAGTTCCATTTTTTTTTCCCTTCTCCCTTTTGCCTGATTGCTGGAAGTTCTTGTGTGCCAGCATGACAGCTTTTGGTGCAACACAGAAATCCATCATGCGACAACTGAATTCACTGTTTGCCAGAATATTTCTTTGGTTCCATTGCCAGTTGGTTTTTAGGTTTAACCCGGATTCAGACGCTGTGTTACATGTTATTAGGTGGCCAGAAAATAGCCAAAAGGACCTTATTGCAAGTTGTATTTGCCAGCTGTGGTTTGGAGTCTGGAGGATGAGCTCAAGGTGCTAAATAGATCTCATTATTCCCAAGGTGAATTAAGTTCAACTAAATGTTAGGCATCAGATCATTATGCTGGACCCTCGCACCGCAGGACCTTCTTGTGGGGCCTTGATAGTGAGGCATTTTTCGTGATTTCGTTGGCTTCGTCAATTCCCCACACATTTCGTATAAACGGTCCCCAACGGTTGCCCAGAGCTAGTTAATTCTTCGGAGTATTAAGGATTGACGTTGGGAGTTCTGAATATGCGCAATTCGGATTTCAGCTATCCGATATCATCTATCTCTCCCAGGGAAAATTACAACCAAGCAATTCTGTCCCGTTCTATGTAACTAGTTACTGCCTAATCAGCCGTATCAAATACGATCCAATATCCTCCGGACCGAGAGTCAAACCAAAAAGGAAGCCGAAAATGATCACCGAGAAGGGTTTTAAAAAAGAAACAGAACCCAACGCTTTTGACAACCCGTGGTCCGCGTGAGCGTTAGTTAGTGAAATACCCCGGGAAAAGCCACGCGAGTTTCGCCACAGCCTCATCTCCCAGATAACCGTGAGCCGTGCTCAAGCCCAATTTACATGAGCCCTCAAGATGCTTTCCCCGCACGAGAGCCGCGTGCTCATCCTTGGTGAGCTCATCCAGCACCGCGCCAATGAAGTTTCTTGCATTCGCCGAGTTCATTTTCATATTCGCCATGACTAGTTCGACGCTTACATCTTCCGAGCTATGCCAGCAGTCGTAGTCGGTGGACATGCAAATCATCTGATAAGCGATCTCGGCTTCCCGGGCGAGTTTTGCTTCGGGTATGCATGACATGTTGATTACGCTCCCACCCCAGGAGCGGTAGAGGTTGCTCTCTGCACGAGTGCTGAATTGTGGCCCCTCTATTTATTGCGATGCGTATCAAATTATCAGATATTGATGTTCACCATCTGAAGAACAAAGGGCAAGGGAAAAGGGGGAGAAATTGAACGAAAGAAAGAAAGAAAGAAGGAAGGAAGGAAAAAGAAAGAAGGAACCATACCCATACAGACCAGAGTTCCGCGATCATGAAGCACCACGCCGTCTCCTTCCAAGCTATGTCCGCATTCCCTGACTATCTTTGCCATATGCTGGTCAAAGGGATCTGCAAAGCCGACATGCGCTACCGCCCCGCCCTCGAAAAATGTCCACGGACGTACTCCCTTGGTCCGATCAATCACTTGGTCAGGTACGACAAAATCTCTCGGTTTGATTGATTCTTGTAAACTGCCCACAGCGGAAAACGCGACGATACACCTCACGCCAATCGAGCGGAGGGCTGCAATGTTTGCTCGCGAGGGGACCTCGTGGGGCGCATATTCATGGTGGAGCCCGTGCCGGCTGAGGAATGCGACGGGGACTGTCTTTCCGCTTGAAGAGCAGACGTGGTGTAGGATCGTGATTGGGGAGGATGGGTTGCCCCATGGCGTGGGGATGGTGAGAGATGCCACCTGCGTGAAATGGGGCAGTTCTCGAAGTCCGGTGCCGCCGATGACGGCTATGTGGACTGGGTCTGGTATCTTGGCAATCTCGGTGAGAAATGTTATTAGTAGGCATATATATACAGGTCACCAAAATTGCCCGCGAGTAAGGGGATGTGGAATTAGTTAACGTGTAGCTGAGGTCCCGCACCGTCGTATGTGTCCGGGAGGTTTGCCATCCTGATTTCTATGGATATAACTTGACCAGGACCTTAATTGAAACTGGCTCCCAGGTAATAACGAGTGGATTGGCGCGAGAAAAGAAGCACTGCGCCGAATGAAAACAGCGTCAACCGAGAGATTTGATATCAGGGCTCGAAGCGAGGGGCACGGAGGTTTGACTGGCGGGGCAAAGATTCCCCGGCTGGAAATTGGTGCACGTGACCCCGACAAGCCCTAAGCAGGATCCCTCAAAGGCCAATCCCTTCGTAGCTTTTTTAACTGCTTCCCAGGGACAATATACCCTATGACAATCTCTATTTGAACAGAAAAACTTAACTCGGGCGATAAGAGAACCAACCGGGAACAGAAAAGGAACTGGAGGGAGATTGCTCTTGTCACACACACCGTATCTATCTTCCCTATGGGTTGCTAAATGTGTAACTATATATGCATCCGTCGCCTATTCTGCTTGGATCGAGGCCTTTGAATTATCGTAAGAACTCTGCGCAAGAGAGATGGGCAATCAGGGAGATCAGAGTCTAATTCAACAGCTTAATTACTATGAGAAGAGGGTTAGAGGCACGGAAGCTTGAAAATCAGCAGCAGCAGCAGCAGCAGGATATTCGGGCGTACTTTTGAACGCTCAAACCTCTATATTGAATTCCTCTATATAACGAATTGAATAGGCTTCCCAAGATTGAATCATTATAGCGATGGCTTACTGTATTTGAAATGAAATTGAAATGGCAAACAAAAAAATCACAAAATAATGCCCCTTCTGATAAACGCCCAATCCCTCTTAAAAATGCAATCGCAAATCAGACCTGGATACCAGTTACACGCCATTAAGATGAAGCATCATGTGTTTTCCCCACAGAGCCTGTACACGAACAAGAGCTAATGAACATCAACGTCCCGAAAAGCCCCTGATTTGTCAACGTGATCGCCGAACGAGGTGCTTTTTGGTCTGAGCTTCCCTGTACTGAAAATCTCCCTCATTAGCGGGCGGATATGACTCTCTCCTCGCTCCTTCGTCAATCCCTTGCTTCCTTTGTGACTCTGTTTTTTATCGCGTAATTCCAGCAGATGATTAGCCTCTCTGCTCTTCCCCACCGCTCCATGTTTCCCTTCTAGTCTCCCAACGAACTCGTGTAGTGCCGCGGCATGTGCCGTCTGGATGTGTTGCAGCTCTTTCGCGAACGATTCTCGAAGGCTCTCTAGCTCCGTAGCATGCTTCTCGTTGAGCTGGGCGACCAGTGTTTTCTCTAGTGCTTCTAGTCGCACTGTGGCTGCTCGACTCTCTTCGTCCTTGAGACCCTGGAAATTCTCCTCAAGATCCGTTCTTTGTGCGGGGAGCGCTTCGGTTGTGGCCTTTTCGTTACTTTCCAAAACTGCCGATTTTTCTTCCAGACCTGCCTGCAGCTTCCGCCCAGCTTCCTCCGGCTGCCGCCTTTGCACTTCCAGAGCGTTCGATGTCTCTGCAGGAATTCGACGCAAATTTTGCCCCTCTGCATCAAACTCTTGCTCGCGGGAAGCCGTAGCTTCATCTCTTTCCGTGAGAGTCTGCTGCATCTCTTTGACGCCGTCTTCGAGCTTCTTGTAATCTTCCAGAGTGTAAGGATGTTCTAAAAGAGATTGTCGCATATCTATGTTCTCCTCGTCGTGGTCCTGGTCATCAGCCACCCGGTGAACTCTTTGCGGATATTTGATTTCTTCCTGCAGCTGCCGCTTCTCACTTTCCAGAGCCTTTGTCTTCACAACAAGCTGTTGCAGCTCTTTAACTTCATCCTCCCGTTCCTGCTCTCGAATTTCCAGAGCTTCGGATTTTCTCCAGAGGCTTATTCGTAACGCTTGGACTTCCATCTGTAGCTCCTCCTTGTGAGATTCCAGAGTTTCGGTCCTTTTCTCCAGGGTTTGTCGTAAGTCTTCGACCTCTTGCTCTAGCTCCTTGTTATGACATTCTAAAGCTTCAAATCTTTCGGTGAGCACTCTTCGTAACTTTTTGATTTCGGCTTCCAAATCCCGCTTGTCACCTTTTAGGGACTTCGAGTTGTGTTGCAATGAAGCCACATTTGCTTCCTGCTCCTGTTGTCGACACTCCAGAGTTGTCGACCTTTCCGCAAAATTTTGGCTCAATTCTTCGATCCCTTCCTGTAGCTTCCGTTTCTCCTTTTCTAAGGTTTCAGATCTTTCAGTGAGTGTTCGTCGTAGCTTTTCAGTCTCTTTCTCTAGCTCTTGATTGCGACCCTCAAGGGCTCTAGAATTTCGCTCAGAAGATGTTACCTTTTCTTCCAGAATCCGCTGGAGAGTCGACCATTCCGTAAGATTTTGTTGTAATGATTTCACTTGTTCCTCTAGTTCCCGCTTGTTACGTTCCAGGTCTTCAGACCGTTCAATATATCCTTGCCGCGCCTCTTTGATCTCCTTCTCCAAATCGGCATTGGTTCTGTGTGCGGTTTCCAGCTCATTCTCTGCGGCCTGTAATTTCGCTCGAGCAGTAGCTACCTGCGTCTGAAGCCCCTGAATCTTGTCGTTCAAGAGAGAGCACTCTGCAGCATTTTCGCTGATCAATTTCCGCATCTGCCCCCGCAACGCTTCGATGTGAAACTCTTTGTGCATTACGGTTTGTTCAAGAGGTAGTTTGTTTTCAGTCTTGTGATTTTCCGCGTCCCGATAATCTTGGTCAGTTTTGGGGATACCGTAGCTGGACCTCGGACGGCTGATCTTTGGGCCATCGTGCTTGATCCATCTGTATATATACTCGCCAGTATTGCTATCGTCACCTTCTAGTCGAGTTGCTTGGAGAAATGATGGGGCTGGCGATAGAGGGTGACTCCCCATCGAGAAACTATCGCGATGTCGGTAAACATTGCGAGGAGACATTGTCTTGTACGTATGCCTCAAGTTGAGCTCCTCGAATAGCGATTTCGAAGAAATATAACTTTTTCTATATCGGGATTGAGTGGGTAACATAGAGAAGGAATGCGGGGGGTATGACAGTTGAGATCGAACAATAGCAACAATAGCAACAATAGCAACAACAACAACAACAACAACTGATGGTGAAAAAGCAATAACTAATTATGCTGAAGACATTACTACATTTGTCGCTAATCTCGGAATGACGATGAATCATGCAAGGCAACGTGTTGCAACAGCCCCTCCTTGGAAGGGCACCAATGGAGTTTAAAGCAAACGGCGCCCTCCGACAGCCATATTCGCTATATTCAGAGGGCGAATCTCGAAAGAGCCAATTTTAAGTTGTGTCTCCTTTTGGTTTCACCTTGCTATGAGACATAAATTTGCCCCATTTGTGTATATTTTGCGGTGGCCATTAACTACTTTAGTCAGGGAACAGCATGATAAAAAAAAAAAAAAAAAGGCCCACGTTGGCACGGGCAGGAAATCGTGAGAATAACCCGCTCCGTGTAAACCCGTGCTGAAATCTGAAGAAGAGATCACCAAGAATGCTGGAAGGCCAAAATCTTAATAGCTCAACGACTAAATACACAGTCTATGATATCATTGAGTGGCTTTGCCTAAAAATTTTCCCATCACGACACCGCTTTCCGCCCATTTCCGAAACCGAATGAGCATTCTGGCTACCCGAAAACCGGCGAGTACAGGTTTCTGATCATGCCAGCCCTGGCTTGAATTAGCGCAGCCGAGTTTGTTTATGCTGCAGACCCGTTCTACGCGCCCAATTCTGAGACTCATTTATGGGCGGCGGGTCGGCCCTCGACGCGAGGTGTTGGTAGGGTCCAATTGTTCTTCCGTCAAACCCCCACATATAATTCGACTTAAATTATTCCATTCCGCCCCAATTGCGTTTCTATGGCAAGCTAATAGTATATGGAGTGAGTTTGATTCCAAAGAATTTGCTGATGTTTTTTTACCTAATAATTTGTATGCCCCTAGGTGTTATGATACAATCTCCGAAATTTCCCCACATAAAGATAGAAGGGCAGAGGGGAAGAGGAACATCGGCGTTTCCCAACGCTAAACGCTACAAAGGAAAACCAATCAACAGGCTAGGTAACTACGCAACGGTATCCCTCGTATTGAACGCCCAAGGTGCTTGTAACCTTCAAAGACGATGTCATGCTCACGTAGGAACAAGCATCTTATTCGCATAAAAAGAAAAAACGTGAGAAAAAACGGAGAGCCGAGCGAGGGTGGTTAAGTGTAAAGCTTGGCATATCAGCATCTTATTTTTGTATGTGGTTTCACGCCAACTCAGAAGAGAATCAGTCGAATACAATCTTCTTCCCTTGGAAGGCGGTTTGGCTCTTCTGTTCCTTGGCCTTCTTTGCCGCTTCCCAGGAAGGATGCAGTGGTTTTTGCTCAGATGTTTGGGGAGCTTTGGGGCGCCCAATATTCCCTTCCGGAACTTGTTCAACCTGTTTATCTTTTGGTTTTCGGAAAGACATGGCTGTCGGAAAACCTCCGCCTCTGCCACGCTTCCCTCTCATAGCATCACGAGATGTAGCTCCTTTCCTCATGTCCCAGCCACTATCTCGTGACATATCTTTCTCCTGCGACATTTTCTTAAGGTGGTTAGCACCTGAGCCGAATTTCTTCTCCCATAGCTTTCGTCTGGCCTGTTGACCCATCCTATTTTTCCTCGGTTGGATTGCGGCTGCAGCTGCGGCTGCGTCCTCATCGGCGGACTCTGACCCAGACCAGTAGCCGCCCATTGTCAGGGATGGGAGAAACGTTGTTTCGGGGGTTTTGTTGATAAACTTCGAACTGTTGAGTTTGGTTGCCGGTATAGAGTCTGCTGATGCCACCGAGGACGCCGATGAAAGGGACAAATCTGCTGCTGGATCATACCTAGCAGTGTTTCCTTGTGGTCGTGCCTCACTGCCCTCATCGCCTGATCCTGATTCTGAAGAAGACGCCAATCGCGCATTTGGTTGATCCAAGTCTGCATCATCCATTTCCAGATCCCCCTCAAAGTCCTGGTGTTCCCCAGAGTTCAACTCTGCCCTAACCTCATCCGACAGTTTGGATTTCCGGTTGGTGGTGTTCTCATGGTCTTTCATCATTTCAGCAGGGATCCCCTCCACAATACCTAAAATTCCACGTATGCCGTCTATTATCCCCGGAAACACATCTCTTACTGGATTTGACTTGAATAAACGTGCTATAACATTAGCTTTTGGTCCATTCTTTGGGCCTTCAGGTAGTGGTCTTTTTTCCGATAGCTTCGCAAACGCTGGAGATTCCGCAATTCGTTTCGTCTTCACAAGATGTTTGAGTAATTGCCGTTCCGCAGTAACTGTTAAATCCAGGCACTACACCTTGTCAATTCCGGATCATCATACACGTAGCTTGATAGTAAAACACTAAACTCTACCTTTAGAGCTTGAATTTCCTCGCTGATTCGCGATAGTTGAGCCGTTTCATTCTTCTGTTTTGCAGTTTTCTGGCGCCGTCCAAGCTTCTGGCGTTCGAAGCCGCGGGCAGTTTTAAGAGCTCGATGGATTAGCTGAGAGCCATGCTCAATTTTCTGTTCCAAGCGGGCAATTTGGACCCCCAGCCTCCCATCCTCCGAGTTGGAAAGATTTGCCTCTTCAAATTCAGTGCGTTTCCGCTTCGACATTCTTGTGCAATTGAGCGAATTCCCCTAGATTTCCGTAGTCGTATGATATATCCGTTGCCCTCCTCCTACACATTGACATTGAAATATAACGGTAGAATATTTTTCCCGCTTCCAGTTATCAATTTTTGGGCATATCACGTGGACCGTGCTAAGTCAGCACGGCTCTTTGAACCTTTTGCGGCCTGCAAACAATGAATTTTAGCAGCAGAACGGCTAACTAAAGAGTTAGCGAGCCAGCTGGCGATATAAAAATGCTGCATCGGCATTCATACACCAAGATTTTATGACTACGATAACAGCTGTCATGGCATCCGCATCACCAGAGTCGCTGCCCAAGGACCGCAAAGGACCGAGAGGTAATAAGCGCGCCCGCCACGTCTGTCTTCGCTGCCATGAGAAAAAGGTAACAACCGTATGCATGAAACCATGATCCGTATAAGTTGACCGCTATCACAGATCAAATGTGACTTGCAGGTGAACAATTCTGAATGCGAATCTCCCCGTTGCTCAAGGTGTGAAGTCGCCGGATATGAGTGCCGGTAAGTGCATCAATTGAGCTGGGATCCCCGAATTACCATCACTGACATGCTTTAAGGATTCGTCTCTCCAGGCGTGGAGCAGGTAATCGGGGTTCCGTTCGGCATGGTAGCTTGGATGCCCCCGATGCATCAGAATCTTTGCCTGTTGTGTCGTTGCCATACGACCCGACTGCTAGCTCAACACCAAGCAACCAAAGCCAGGTTCATGTTAAATCCGACCCGTCCACTCACCTGCCGGCACCAGATGACCGGCTGGTCATCGAAGGTGCTGCCTCTCCGCACTTCTCTGCGGCAGTTGGGAGGCCACCGCCTTCCTACCCTGGCACTCCAGAAGGGAGTCGGCAACTAACGGTTCAATTTATGTCAAACCGTACAGACAAGTTACCAACCAACTGTCGCGAAGGGAGCCAAGTTCAAAGCCCATTGAATTCCGGCGAAGCTGGACTTTTTCACGTTCTGGATAGTGCATCTGGAATTGATCACCTAAACTCAACACACCTCTCAGGGCAACCCATCGACTTACCACCTCCGGCATTGCAAGAAAGCTTCATGGACACATATTTCCAGTATTGCTACCCATGGTGTCCCATTTTCGAAAGCTCTAAGTTGTTTTCGGAGCAGGAGGAGTCGAATTCCATACTCCTCAATCAAGCATTGGCGCTTCTTGGCAGCCGAATCCAGCCACCAGTTCTACTGCATGTTCCCCCGAGCGTTTACTATGACCGTGCGAAAGCGCTCTTTTACAGAAACCACGAAAGTAACCCGATAACATGCGTAAAAGCGCTCCTCCTATTTTATTGGTGGGGCTCAGCGCCAAATAGTCCCAGCCTTGATACCGTCTGGTGGTGGACCGGAGTTGCTATACGACTCGCGCAACAGATTGGCTTGCATCGCGAACCAAAACCTGGCCAAATTATGCGACCAAACGAAACTCCTGGTTTGCGGCGAAGGATTTGGTGGACCTTGTTTGTAAGTGGGCCAAGTGTTGCATATTATTATTGAATCATTCTCTGATACAACTTGCAGGCAAGAGAGCGACAAACAAGTATATGCCAAGGAAAGCCTTGTATTATCGATCCTTTAGATTGCAATGTCCGAGAACCGTCATTAGATGATTTTCCAGAACCGAAGGATCATTTTCGAGCCCAGGTGTTCATACATTGGGTGCGGCTTTCCGCTGTTGTCGGGCGAGTTGCAAAATACCTCCTACAGAAACCAGCAACGACACAATTTCGGGGTCATTTGGCTAGGGAATTGGTAGACTGGGTCCAGTCTCTTCCTGAAGCGTTGCGTCTACCCATCGCAACTAACCGTACATACCCATTCAACCGAGACGTGCACCAACTGCATTTACCTTATCTTACCACCATAACCCTTCTCTACCTAACCAAATCGTCCCAGCCTCTCCCAAAGGCATATATCACCGCGGTTCTTTCTGCGTCTTGCGTTGCCCGTATTTTCGAAGACTTCCTCGCGCGGGGGTCCATTCGATTTCTTCAGGGCATGGCAGGATGGCACATCGCCGTTGCGATCTTGGCACTTCTCCATGTGCGACAAATCCCGCCCCTCACCGAAGCCGCAGATAATCACATCAGCATCCTCAAAATCGCCCTGAAAGAGATGGCCAAGATGTGGCCATCTGCCAACATGCTGGACAAGGAATTTGATCGCTTGCCCGCCAGCAATGAATTCGCTGTCTCCGGGGAAAGATCCCCCACACACCCAATAGATCTAAGGCCCACCAACTCACTCTCCGAGCTGGCAGATCTTGCAACCGGGACACTTATAAACTCCATGGACTTTTTCCCGTTTGCTACGATTCAGACAAGCCCTGTGGTCGAAATCCTGTTGACACATAGTTCTTCGATGATTTTCTCCGAGCTGAGCTGGCCGCGCGATATTTCAGCACAATTGCACGGTTTGCTGGATTCGTTCGGAGGTGTTTAATGATATACTTTCCGATTCTGTATAACGCACAGCGATGTTTTCAAAAAAATTTCCTCTCGTTCTCTTTATATACTAAAACGGTTTGGGAAAAAGATTGTTCTATGCAAGTTTTTGTACAGCGGCTTTGGAAATCAAGGGATACAGACTATGGGCTTGGTCCAATGGAAAAGGGTCGTGGTTGCTATCATGAGAAACGACTGGAGTTTACAATTATATGAAATGTTTGGTTTTATTTCCAATTTCAATAAATTTATTACAAATGATTTCTTGTTTTCCTCTTGCATTGTACGGTGTGAGGTCGGATTCTCATACAGTTAAAAAATGCAGATGGAGAGCTTTCAAAGGCATCGAGTTCCACCTGGATTATCTGAAACACGAGTGTTGAAATCGACGTGAAAAGTGATAGACGTCTGTTTGACGGTCCGTATATAAGACATGACATAATATTTACAGAAGAACTTCTGGATGATATCTTGCGCATGGGAGCTGTCATATCTCAGCGGGTGTCTGCCCAACCCGCACCCAACGACAAGCGCTGTTCGGATGCAATAGCCGGCCCCGGCCAGTGCCGAGTCGAATGGCTTTGTTTTTGGTTGCCGATGGCCGAATCTTGGCAGTTTCCTCAGCCCCACTTTTATTCGGCTAAACTCAAGCTCAGCCACGGTTCTTTTGGGGAATAATAATAATTGATTAATTAATTTATTAAAATAAAAAAAAAAAAAAAAAAAAAAAAAGGTAAAAATTACGTCCGCGCTGTCTTCCTTATCCTTTCTAATCGGTTTCTCTATGATTGGAAAGCAACAATGGCTGGTGGAAGGATTTGAAAAGTGGCTTGAAAAAAAAAAAAAAAAAAAAAAAAAAAACAAACGGTTCCCACCGCCCACCGGCTATCTATCCAATGGAAAATATTGGAACTCGATTCAATTTTTTCGGAATATTGCCACCTGCAAGCAACCTTATCGCGACATCCCCCCAATATCAAGGATCTGGTAATGATGTTGTCCGCTGAGAAACTCTTCCTCTACGGAGTAATGCTATTTTCACCACTGGTAAGAATATGGCGGGGGGAGATAGGGGGTGTGTGAAAACAATACTCCCGCTCCGGAATATTCCAACCATTTGTCGCTACACTCTTGCGAGAAGGTCGCTTATTCCAAACGGTTTTATTGTTCTGATCTCTGTGATCGAAGTCATGTTGGAAACTTTCTCATATCAAGCGTTGGCACCTTTTGTATGTCGACCCAGTTGTCTCACACCTTGAGCAGTTGCTTGAACTCAGGCATGGAATCTCTATTTGGAAAAAAAAAAATAAAAATAAAAATAAAAAATAAAAAATAAAAAATAAAATAAATTGCCGCAAATAGCAAAATTTGGGTAAGATGCTCTGGAATATAGACAAACCCCCAATGGCTGCCACTAGTTCCTACAGCCAGGGGGCCTAACGGGTTTGGGTCACTCACTCTACGAAGGATGGCAGTTTGAAATCCCTCTCTATCCTTCCAGCATCCTGTTTCGTTCCATAACTAATCTGAGGATAGCAGTGCTTGTAAAACCAAGCTTTTAAAACCAATGGAGCCTGGACTCAAGGTAGGCGGCTGACGAAAACCACTTTTGCCTCCCATGTTGCAAGAAAATGTCCTGTAAACTATCCTATAAGCTCATCGTGTTCCTGATCGCTGCCGTCAAGATTCATTGGGTAATTATCTCAGGAATGGTGGATGTCGCGTTTCCTCGACCACTGGTCAGATTGAAGAACCGACGAGCCGGTGCAGGCGTCTGCCACGATTAGCTCTCCAATTTGATTTGAATTGACAACAAGCTCCAACTGTTTCGCAAACAGTAACTAACTATTTCCGGTGAGCAAAGGAGAAAACATTGCTTCGACGGGTCAAATATGACATTGTGGAGGGGCACAACCAGGCCGTCGTGAAATGCAACTGGAAGAATCTGTTATCTAACTCTGGTTTAACGTACAGTGGGCATTTAAGTTAACTACTATTAGGTTAAATAAACTTTGTCGACCGATGCCAGGCCCAAAGATGCTAACTAACGGTTCAACCTGAAGCCCCAGAAGATCATCTCCAAACCCCGAAGCAGCACGCACGCACTTTTAAAAAAAATTCTCCGCAAGAACTTCTGCATTGGTGCTAATAATGCTTCTCTTTCTTTTCTTCTCAAATCATAGTCTCAAGTACAGTACGCCATTCATATGCCCATACCTTCTAAGAGGTTTTGTGCTCTCTATGTTCACTAATTGAGAAGTTCAATAATGACTTTCAAATGCCCGCCATACTACATTTAGTACATATGGTTTGTCTACAATGAAATGGATTTAATGGTCGACACAGAATTGCTGCATTTTCAATAAAATTTTGGATATACTTGCCTCGATAGTTGGTTATAAGCTCGATCGGTTCACTAACAATGATCCTATCTCATAAAGGTAATTAGTTAGTTCTCATCACTTGCTCCCTTTACTCCCATAACTCCTTATTTTAACGGGTTTTGATGGTTTACATCTCCGCCCAGCTTCAGGGTTATATAAAGTAGTTAGCTGCCCAATGGGAGGGTTTTCAAGGACCAAAAATAAGCCTAGAGATTTGCGGCTGAGCGCAAATATGGAGAAATAAAAGCACAAGTCGACGCCGTAATCAACTGATCGCTACTCCCTGCCTCACCATCTCAATTCAGGTGGACATGGCCGGTTGGGATATAATTACGCGATAAATACCTTTGAAAGGAAGAACCAAGCTCTGCTCCAGAATATCTCGAGATATATTTTCCATATACATACGCGCCTCTTCGGGAGCATCGTGGGCCCATTGTCTCCTTCACAATGTCCGCCAAGGCCATTCAATACCTGCTACCCTTCACTTTCATCTTCGCCATCTATGCCATCGCTATATTTGGGAAGCAGAATGGCTTCTTGGGCATGCTCGATCAGAACGTTGAAAATGGCACGCTGCCTGAAACGGACGAGCGCTTGAGAACAACCTTCACTGGTGTGCATGCGGTGGACCATCTACTTACTACGTTGGTCTCCTTCTTCTGGCCAGTCGTCGATGGCAGTTCGCCCAGCCTGTCGCTACACGGCTTGAATTTCGCTGGGGCCCTTGGTGCATTGTGGGTGTTGATTCTGCTGGAGTCGTTCCGGCCCGGGAATAAAGCCCGTTTGGTGTTGTAGTAAGTGTTAACGTTTTCATTAAATACATCCCCGTCCGATTGTCCATTTAAAAGGCCCGTAGGCTCCCTGCAATATATCAGCTGCACACATGAAGCTGCTTTCTAACCGTGATAACACAGCCCCGTTATATTCGGCCTGCTCTTCCAGCTGATAACATTGGGCATCGCCATCCCCATATACGCCGCTCTACACCTCTACACATCAAGGACACTCTCCAACCCAACCCGCCAGACCGTCACTATCCGCCCCTCCTCCCTCACAGGCGTGAAACTCATTCCATTTAGCGTAACACTGGGCTACCTTCTCCCGTCCATTTTCCTTACACTCCCCGAAAGCACTTGGCTCCCTCTCCAATCGACACAAGAACGCATCGCCTTCTGGCAGCCCTGGCCCATCTGGGTATGGCTCATCCACTCCGCAACCACCAGGATCACAACCGCATTGCTCCGCTCCAACAGAGCCCTATCTGCCAAGCAGACCCTCTCCACCCTCCGGTGCGTCTACGCTTTCGCCTTCGCCCTTGCCGCTGTATCGCACATCGCCACATGGTCTCTGTCTTTCACCACAATGATTTTTCCTATCTTGTTTGCGCGCGACTTCGCAGCCGCTTTGCACCCTGCGCGCGTATTTTTGAACACTATGCCCTGGTCGGGCGCGCGGGCCAAGTCGTGTGGTGAGAGTGTGCTCTGGATTCTGCAGTGGGATCAGCTGCTAGGGACCGGTTGTCTACTGCTTTGGGCTATTTCTCTGTATGTGGCGGCGCATCAGGCTCGAAAGCTCAGTGTTGGATGTATAGGGCTGGGGGTTAAGGTGGCTTGGCTGTGTGCTGTTTCTGGCGTGGCTGGCGCCGTGGTGGAGCTGATGTGGGAGAGGGATGAGTTGGTGCTTCAGGGGCAGCCGGAGGAGCAGGGAGCGCAGAGTGAGCCTGGAAAATCCAACAAAAGGTGATTTAAATATGTTGATGGATGTAATGTGATGTCAGGGCCGACAGGTTTTCCCTGTCCATTTATATTCCTTTTTACCTCAGTATCTTTTCCATTTGAATTCGAGGTATTATGGATTGTGATTTAGGGGTTTTAAATAAAAAGGATGGGATTTCGAAGACAAATTCCAGGGAACAACAAAGGCGTGTTTGAGAGGTTACACAGGCAGGGTAGTTGGCGATGGATTCATCTTCATAATAAACTAATCTAGGCGACAACTGTGTGAAGTGTCTATTTACATAAAATTGGTATAACAAAAATACAGTTTTGATGCAAGATTGGTTTGCCAATAATAAAAGGGGGTGGATTATTATACACCCCGTCCGTGCTACTTTTTAGGTTCCTCCTTTTTTTCTTCAGGTTTTGGAGTAGGCAATTTGAACTATTATCGCGAGTGGATATATCAGCATGCAATATCAACATGACAAGGAGATTATTGGAATTAACGTACTTCGCTTGGCTTCTTGTCGATACCCTCTCCAATTTGTTCCCACGCAGAAGTTCCGCCTTCAAAATTCCTGAAGGCCTGGGTCAATTCCAATGGCTCAACGACTATTCTCTTCTTCTCCTCGTCATATCTAATTTCTGTGTATCCCGTCAATGGGAAATCCTTTCTTAGGGGATGGCCATCAAATCCATAATCCGTCATGATCCGCCGGAGGTCCGGGTGCCCAACAAAAAACACGCCGAACATGTCATATACCTCGCGCTCGTACCACAACGCTCCATCGTACAGACCGGTGATGCTTGGGACGGGGGTAGCTTCGTCTGCGTAGGTCTTGACGCGTATCCGCGAGTTGTGGCGCACGCTGAGAAGATTGTACACGACCTCGAAGCGCTGGTCGCGGGTGGGGAAGTCGACAGCGGTAATATCGGAGACTTGAGTATATTCCGCCGCGGTGTGTTGTTTGAGGAAAGTGAAAACCGGAATGATTCCGGACGGAGGGACATATATAGTCAGCTCGTCCTTCCAGACGGAGAACTGTTGGATGTATTTGGGGAGACAGGATATGAGGTATTGGCCGTATTTGTGTAGGGCTGAGGATTTTTCGGCATATTTGTCAACGGGATTGACGACGGCACGGTGGAGTTCGCCAACAGCTGGTTATGTGCAGAGAGTCAGCAACACAGATCCAATTAAAAGAGACTCTGATTAAACCAGGTTGCTAGAGGAGGTGAAGTTTAGCTGACATGGGCGAGGCGCTTCCCGCATATTGGGTGTGTTTGTGTTGGACACAACCTTTGCCTGCTGTAAAGGGGCCACTGCGGAGAAGAAGCAAACGGATGGGGGTCTGGTAGCGGCAACCAGGGAGCGGCTGCTCCCCAGACGCATGACAGGCCTTGCGGACGCCATGGCTGTGGGTCAATCGGGAATGGTGGGAGGAGAAGGCGGAGTGAATAAATTAGTTCTTGGTTTCTCACAATGAAGCCCTGGGATGGGATGAGGTTATGGATTATATAAGCTACACTATATGTCACGTGAATAAACTTTACCTGAATAAGAATAGCGCAAGAATAACAACCTGTGATTGGCAAAAAAAACAAGTTGCTGATCTAAGCGGCCCAAACAGGCCTAGTGCCTACAGAAAGCTCGAACCTCCTCTTTCGTTCCTCATCGTCTTTTTTTCTTTTCCATCCGTCTTCATCACGCACACTGGCACCAACAATACACTCTGCTTGGCCGCTGGATTCATATATCCCTTCTTGGCCCGCTACTCTCTTCACCTGCTGGTTCCGGTTCTGCGGCGTCGTTGTTTATAGCCGCTGTCGAACTTCCAAGGCTGTTTCCTCACCAGATCCCAACCTTTCCCCAACTCGTTCATGTGTCCTGGCACGCTGGATCAATTTCATAATTGTAGTAGAAGTGTTGCGCTAGGTTGGCAGGGAGAAGAAGTGCCGAGATGTCCTCCCGAACCCAAAATGACTCAGTTATTGATGATGACGACGAGTCGTGGTATGTTATGTTCCCCACTCCCTGCTGGTTCTCTAGTCGATCTCTCCTGGCTAAATATGTATTCGGTTTCTCCGTAGTCCCCTCTGCATTGAAGAGTTTGACCTGTCAGATAAGAACTTCAAACCATGCCCCTGTGGATATCAGGTATGTTCATTTTACTTTGTTTTGTTGCATCTTGAGTTTTCACCCCCTCAATCATTCCAGTAGACGCAAAAGTTTCATCTATTTACATCTATATATATCTGCACACCTCTCTGTGTTTATATATCCTGTGTCAGGCTAAGGCGGCTAATATTCTTCCCAGATCTGCCAGTTTTGCTACAATAACATAAAAACACACAGCGAGGAAGGGCGATGTCCAAACTGCAGACGCGTATATGACGAGAGTACAATCCAATACAGAGTTCCAGATGCCGACGAGTTAGTCTATTCCACCTCTTATCCCTTTTTGTGTATCGGTTAGTTCTAACGCGGATTGTCACCCAATCAGGTTTAAAGCGGACTTGGCGTTAAAACATCGCAAAGCCGCCGCTGCCAAAAAGCGGGAGGCCGAAAAGCGAGAAATTGAAGCGTCCAGTCGAAGAAATCTCGCTGGCGTTCGGGTTGTACAAAAGAACCTGGTTTATGTCATTGGCCTAAACCCCACGATACGAGATGAAAATCAACTTCTACAAACTTTGCGTGGAGACCAATATTTTGGACAGTATGGGGATATTGAAAAGATTGTTGTGAGCAAGGCCAAACCAGGTGGCAATCCAAACCAGGGCATCGGTGTTTACGTAACCTTCGCTCGCAAAGCTGATGCCACAACGTGCATTGCCGCTGTGGATGGATCTCCTAATGGCGACCGCGTCTTACGGTAGGTTTATCCATATGGATATGGCTCCCCGAATAAGCTGTCAACTGGATACTGATTCTTGTTTGATATAGGGCCCAATATGGTACAACGAAATATTGCTCGTCATTTCTTCGCAACGAGCAATGCAACAACCGCAACTGTACATTTCTTCACGAAACGGGTGAAGATAACGATACCTTCAGTCGCCAAGATCTATCCTCCATGAACACCATGTCATCACAACGTGTCCACCCAAGCGGTCCAAGTGGGCCTCCTCCTTCAACCCAGTCTCCATACACCTATCACGCTCAACCTGTCAGATCAGCCACACATCCCATCCAAATTCCGGCCGGGCCCCAACCAATGCGGCGACAAAACAGTAAAGACGAGCCAGGGAATCGAACCAACATTGACTCTTCCGCTTTGCCGTCGTCTGCTAGTTGGGCTAACAGGGATTCCCATGTGCAACGTGCACGACGGCCAAGCGTGGCTGCTAGCCAATCAACCCCCAGTCCCAAGGTTGCGAGTGCAGTTGTCAACAAGATTGAGGATTTAAAGCGAACTGCTGACAGCGCCCCAGCGCCCTGTCAAGATTCTGCTAGAGAGCAGACCCCAACTCCGGCAGAAGCCTCAAGCTCATCTACCCGCGCTGCTCGAACAGTGTCCCCTCCGTCGCCGTCTGCCCCCAGTGAAACTACCATGCTGGACGACCTTGTGAAAGCAGTCAATAACCCGGATTTCCGTTTCATATTTTCGTCTGCGGGGCTGACATCTGAGGAAATCGCGTACATCGAGAATCATCCTTCTCTTATCGATCCATATGGCGGAATTAAGCGCCGTGCGATGCGGGAGAAAGCTGAACATGAACGAGCAAGCCAGGAATCTGAGAACCAAATGATAGTTCATTCTGCTACGAACGAAGAGGAGAACCTTGAGGGTGGCAGTTCACAACTAGGAGGCGAGCCTGAAGAAATTCATTCCACTAGTGCCTCGGGACGAAGTAATAGGGAGCCTCTTAGTGCAATTCAACCACCATCTCAGCAGACGACATCCGTAAATTCTGCGATTGGATCTCCCGTTTCCTCTGGCCACCAGTTTCACGGAATAAATGTGGCCGGTCGAAGCCTAACTCCCCTCCAGCAACAACAACTTCTGTTACTCAAGAATGCAGGTGGGCAACATATGGGGTTAATGGATCAAGTACACACTGGATCGGGCTCCAATGCATTTGAGCATAATGTCCAAGTACGCGCAGGCCTATTTCAAAATCAGATGCCACAGATGGCTGGTTTACAGGGTCATGTTAGACAATCATCACGATTCTCCTTTGTGAATGATGCCAACGCAAAAAACGCAGCCAACCAAAGACTCGTCAATCAGCAGACGTCTACCATGCAGGCTACTACCCCAAATCCCCTTAATGCACCAACTAGCCAACATGGTTTGGGAAATCATTACTTTGTTAGTGGGGTTCAAGGCCCCCCTCCAGGTTTGAAAACCGCAGGCACTCCTCCAATCAGTGGTGGGGGCATGTTCGCTCAAGGACACGGTTTCACTAGCGCAATGAATAGCAGTCTCAGTCTTGGAGCCAAGCAAGATTCCAACCCTGACCTTATGCGTGAGCTTATGCGTGGTCGAAGCGGCACTAGTGGTGGTGGTGGCATTCAGGCGCACGAGGCTGCTAAGAGTGAGTTCATGTTCCCCTTTATTCAAATGCACAACACACCCCCTCCCTTGGCTCCCGTATCTGGCCTTCTCAGCTCTCTCTATGGTCATCATGCTGGGTCCCACCAAGACTCCGGGCCACAGAAGCAGAGGAAGAGGGGGAAGAAGCACAGACACGCTAACACTTCCTCCGGTGGAGGCGGTGTAGTAGATCTTGCGGACCCGAGTATTTTGCAGGCTAGAATGCACCAAAGTGCTGCTAGTGCTACCCCTGGGCAGGGACTGTACGGGAGCCAGGGTCAAGGTGGGTACAACCACTCCAGCATGGTCTATGGCGGAGGCTTTGGCCGATGGGGATGATTTCCCCTTGTGCTGCTGGACCTCTTCGTGAATTTCACTTTTCTCTTTTCCTTAAGCATGTTACTTTGTTCTATCGATTTTATGATAAGCTATGCTTCTACTACTTGATTTACCCCTTTTTGCCAGTTTTCCGAGCCTGAATTTGGCAGTTTATGGGCCCTCCCCTCCCCCTCTCCCCCCCCCTTGCGTTTATTTTATCTATATGACTTTTTGCCCTTCTTTAATTTCCCCATTCCTTTTTCTATGCAGCATATGGCAATCATGTTAAAATCACTGGGATAGGCGAGCCTCGGGCGTTACCAGGGTGTTAAGTTCACATTTTCGGTGAGGCTGAGGGTCGGCGTCTACGCATATTTTTTTTTTTTTCTTCCCTACTCTTTTGCAGAGATCTATACTTCTCTAGGGGTTTGCTACAGATTTGGGGCTCTTCATTAGCATCACGGGTTTAATTTTTCAACGCTTTTGGCTCATCCGCATGGTGATTGTGAGCCTTTCTTTTGTACGTTAAGTCTCCCTTACCCTGACTTGTACCCAAGTCAGATCTATCTCGAAAGCAATTTTCTCACATTTATTGCTCGTATAGACTACCCTCCCTCATTCTTCGCTTCCAACTCCCTACATTCCGTGGATCTTGTTGTAATGAAGAGCTTTCAATCTGTATATATCCCGCCGGCGCCACCATGTAGCCCACCTATTTTGTCCCGGAGTCTATGCTTTCACGCTCCTGTCCTTTTAGTTTTATTCTTTTTTCGGTTGTTCAGCAGTTCATATTTCTTACGTTTGGCCATCTCCTTTACGTGTTCACTTCAAAGCTGCTAACACAGCTCTACTGGTATATCAGATGAAGATTTCCCGCCTCTCGGTCCTCCAACAAAGCCTCTAGATAAGCGGCCTTTTGAAGGATTTCGCATCGCATCAGGATCACGCGCTTCCCATGGGTCGCTCGATTCGCCCTTCAGGTCTGGTACCCCTGTACTACCACCCGGCCTTCCTTTGCCCCATGGGCATCCTGTCGCATCTTTTGGCCAAGATTACAGCCCATCCAACTCGACCCCATCAAGTCCCAAACAAGTAATCATTCCACCACGAACTGGATTTTCAACACCCATCCAGAAATTTAAAGATGTCCATACTTCCGCGCAACCCTCACCGCACAGGCAACCTTCACCTGTCATCCCCTCCATACCCTCACTGACACGCGCTGCAGCTGAAATATCCTCTGGTTCTCCAAAGCCTAAATCTACAGCACGTAACCGTCGACCGAGTGACACTCTAACAGTCAAGGAGACAACTCAGGATCTCAACTCTGAAAAAGCCCCGGCAATTACTAATAAAAGTGGCAAACAACCTCGTGAGCCTCGCAGCAAGCCCGTGCCATTGATGCTGAAGCTATCAATGCCAACTCCCCGGGACAATATTCCCTCTCGAACCACTACACCCAATCACAGCGTATCCTCCATACCCGCATTACCAAACGTTGCCTCGCGCCCCAATACCCCCTTGACGGGCGTTTCACGGGCGTCTGATTCTCCTATTCCTCGGCAAGCACGGGTATTGCGTGTTGTTGACACATCGAAATCCGAAACACATACTTCAGCTACCGCACCTACACATTCAGCCGCTTCCAACTCGTCGGCGAAACAGCGATCTAGGCGACCCAGTGTTTCATCCACCAGCCTCCCAGGCACGCCAAATAACGCTGACTCTGAATACGATTTTCATACTTCTGCGTCATTGTCGAGGGCAAGCTCACCACCGCCAAGTCGCATTGGTTCCGCACCAGTTCGTACTGTAACAAAAAGTCAATTGAAAAAGGAACGGAAACTCAAGTCTAAGAACGCAGAAGTTAAAAAGGATGAAGCAATCCCGTCTTCGGCTGTCACCGAAGAACCTGTTCAAGCACCGATTATCGGCAGGAAACGCAAGGCAAAGAAGGCCCAGACACCTGCCACTGAACAACTTTCTACAGCAAATGAAACAGATCAAGAGCCCGCCCAAGCGGCCAAGGCATCGAAATCCAAGGGGCAGAATAAGCCAGAGATGTCGACACAGACCAACGGACCAGATAAAGTTACCAAGGAATCTGCCACCAAGGAAAAGCCCACCACCGCTAGTCTGGCTGCAGCGGATAAGGAAAATGTCGAACCATGGAGATCAAACAATACGACTGGGCAGCTTATGGCAGACTCAGAAGCTAGCGGTGTGCCTATTAAAGATCTTTTTTTGGAAAGAACGTCACCACTTCCAGTGTTACTTGCGCAACTGCATCAATCTGGCGATCTTGATCTAAATACACACCCAATCTTCAACCCACCGAACCTCAACCAACGGTCTGATCTAAAGTGCACTGCTGATGACTACGACATTTTGAAAAAACCTATCCACTTGGCTGAAGAGCATAGAACCAAGCTACTCCAGGGTGAACCAATTCACATTAATGAGGATTCCGATCTACTGAAGTATCGTTGCTTAGTCACACCAACCGGGTGCGTCCTCCGCCATCTTTCCGTGGAGGAAGAAAACCGCTATCTGGAACTTGAGAAGAGCCTCACAGCAGCCTGGGAGTCGCTGCAGGAATATCCAGCTTTAACGGTCACCGAGCCCGACATGACCAACCGCGGTGGAGGCTTGGATGCTCTCTTTGCAACTCCCGAAAAATTCAACATCCGCTGGATCGACGGCGCGCCGGAGAATGGACTGTTATCCGGCTCTGCGAAAACTTCCGCCATCTCTTCTATGCCCTCCCCTCCTCCCTTTACTCCCAACGGTTACTCTGCGGCATCTGCAGCAGATGCCAATGAGCCCGCTCGTGCTGCTGGTGCTGCTGCTCCTGCTTCTGCTGGAGCTGCTGGAGCTACGCCTCGCTCATCTACCGTACCTAAATCGACAACTAGTGGAAGTCACCTTGGCGTTGGTCTTGAAGAGCTGATGAGCATGTCTGATGAGGAGCTGCGGAATATGATTGAGGAAGCACAGCGGGAGTTGGAGAGTTCGCGGAAGGAGGTAGATATGGTTGACAAAAAGGTTTTGACACTTGTGAAACGGAATAAGAAGCTGGTGCAGCAAGCTCTGTCTGCTGCGATAGAGTTTGTGGGGTCAGCGTCTGATATTGTCTTGTGAATCGCGGTTGTTTGGGTTGGTGGTAGTGGCTGGGCCGGTGGTATGTGCCAGATGGAGATGAGTGGTTGGAGCATTGAGGAATAGAGTCGAGCCCCTGTAACTTGCTTATCCGTGTGTTTCTGCCTGTGGAATCCACTTAACCACTGCGATTATGACTATCAGATGTATTATTAATGAACGCCTTTCCTCCAATTTAGTTTTGCGTCCCTTCCAGTGTGTGATTTGGTTGTTGTTGAAGCAAACAATTAAAAAAAAAACAGCAAGCATCATGGAGTTCACTGCCTGGCGAATCATACTTCTCATGGTCTTGATTGATTGAAGATTAATCAGTGTTTTTCATTACTTTAATCTCATGGCAACCTGCAAGTGGGATATTAAAACATAATCAGGGTTAAATGTAAGTGGACAAGTTCCTTTCCAAAGCTCTAACGTGTTGTAATTCTTCTGTATATACAACTATGGATGTGCAGACAATGCAATTCTTTGTATCTATAATATCCACTAAAGACAGAAATGCGCGTTAGATAAAATGCTAGATATATACACACCCCATGGGATTCTATGGTATTAACAAGTTTTACATAAGCCGCCCCGTCGTAGGTCGGAAAGGACATAAACCCACAAAGGGAAACTAAGTCCTGAAGTTTATTCATCGCTTTTTTTTTTTGAGGCCGAATGTGGCTCGCAGTTGTAGCTCATTGCAATACGTCGTAATGTGTTCAGACTGCGTCCTCTTAAGGGGTTTGAAATAGCCGATGCAATCATCAGGATTTCAAAATTCACCGGTCTTAAACAACAAAAGCTACAGCCCGTTAATCCCATCCTCATATTCATGAAGGTCATATTCAGCGGGATAAGTCTGCAGAATTCGCTTCAACTCCGCCTTCTGCGCCTCCGTCGATTCTGGAACCTTTTCAAAGACATCGTTAAACATCTCGCGAAGTGGTGGCTTTTTCTCCTTCTCTGCTGCAGAAAACTCCCGCAGCACAGCCTTTCGCACCTCGTCTCGCGTATCACGCTCGAGATCCTCATTCCAAATTCCCTGATTCTCCATCCACTTCCGTAGCCGCGTGATCGGGTTATCGCGTCGTTTCCAATCCTCAACTTCGACGCGGGCACGGTACGCGAAGCTGTCGTCACTCGTGCTGTGATGGGAAACACGGTAGCTCATCGCTTCGATGAGGATGGGCCGCCCTCCGTTTTCCAGGGCCATACGACGGGCCTCCTTTGTAGCCTCGTGGACAGCAAAGAAGTCGTTGCCGTCAACACGGATTGTGTCAATGCCATATCCAACTCCACGGCTGGCAATGCCGTCACCTCGATACTGTTCCAGTGTTGGGGTGGAGATGGCGTAGCCGTTGTTTCGGCAGATGAATACTACGGGACAGGAGCGCGTGGCTGCGATATTCAGAGCGGCGTGGAAATCGCCTTCGCTTGCAGCGCCTTCACCAAAATAACAGGCGACGATCCTTTTTGGGATATTGGGGTTTTGCAAAGCCTGGATTTTCAGGGCGTAAGCTGCGCCAGCCGCTTGCGGAATTTGTGTGGCTAGCGGAGATGATACGGTATGCTATGTCATGTTAACAAACACAATACACCGGATGTAGCAACGTGTGAAATATCATACAGTTTTAAATTTTTGACTGCCGTAATGGACTGGCATATTTCGTCCCCTGCCAGGATCGTTACGGTTTGCAAACAGTTGACTCATGAAATCTTTGAGGGTAAATCCACGTTGCTGGAAAACTCCAGTTTCTCTGTATTGGACAAAAACAACGTCATCGGGAGACAGAGCAGAGGCAGAGCCAACAGCTATTCCTTCCTCGCCCGCTGAAACCTGTCAACTGGTCAGACATCTCTGCATTTATATTCTATATTCATTTGCGGAAGTCAACAAACGGTAGCATACCATATAGAAGCTCAATCGACCTTGCCTCTGAGCATCAAACATAATCACGTCCATAATACTAACTGCAACATCGCAGAGTCTGATCAGCGACCCCTTTTCTATCTTTGAGCAAATTCAACCACGCGTGACCGTATCTAGAGCGGCGCGATATGTTCACTTGTGTAATGTGTAGCACCAGCCCCTCAGGAAACGTACCCGTTAACATATTCTTATACCATGTAATAACCTCTTCACTTGTGACTTTGGGCGGTCCTCGAGTCGTATCCACGATCATGCCGTCGGAGTCCATTACTCGGTATGTGGGGATGGCAGCGTGTTCCGAAGGGTTGATGAACGACATCTCACTGGTAAACTTGCTATTTATTGCACCGGGAAATCGAACGCTATATTCATCCATAATGCACACAACGTCCTTATCAGTCTGAATCCATTTAAGCTACCTGGGTATATAGTATCTCGCAATAATCGGTCCCATACCTGTCCGACCCGGGTCGCTGGGATATCGAAGTACCCCATCGTATCGGGATGTTGACGTGCTTCGTTGAGGCACGGACAACGGGTCGAGTGGCATGCCGGACGCAGCGACACAGGAGAGCGAGTGTCATCTTGTCAAACGAGGACTTGACCGCGGGCCAGTTCTCTATTTTTTTTTTTTTTACAAATGGTGGTGGTTAGTCACTCGATTGCGGTGTTTATCTTGAAGATTATACACTTTGGAGTTGGCGAAATGTTTTCCCACTTCGGCTGGCGTCGGCGTTGGCAATGATAGCCATCACGTGAGCGGCTATTACTCGCGTCTGCCGGCGATACCCAGCGTCTAAAATATGCTGCTCTTGTCGTTAACTTCCTCAGCTATCGTTCCAAACATTCAAACATCGTTTTTCAATTTTTCTTTCTTCGCCCGGTTGAATCTTCAAATACCCGATCCTGTTCTCGTGACGCTTCTGGGGCATGCAGGCGTCCAAGGATCGATGAAGCGTTTGAATCCCACTAGACGGATAGGGCGACCCTAGTTACCGTAACTTCGCGTGAAGACAATTGTCAACGGGACGGTGTCTATTGTCATCTTCGTTGAGGAGGGAAAGAGATGTATGTGAGTCTGTGAGGGAGGATTCGATTCTTAGAGCCTCTCTCATATTTAAGGGAGATATTTTACATATTCTTGCATTCCGTTTCGAACCGATTTGTGTTAAAGCCGTCAAAATCTGTTACTTTTTGTATTTTTGAAGTAATAATTCAGATTGTTTGTGAATATTTCGTTCTTTTATTTCCTAAGTACTCAAATGCATTCAATTATCAAATGCCTATCTGTCTACTTTCTCCCAATAGCCAGTGTAGCCGTTCCGAAAAGGGCAATTGGCTCACTTGTATGCACTTTGCTCACCCGCTCAACCAGCAGGTCCTTTGCCCTCTCAATCTCTTCTTCAGACATCTGCTTAAGCCATTTCGGCATGAACGGCACAGTGTCGAACAGTTTTCCCCTCAGATCCTGGTACGACTTGGCCCCATAATGAATTGGAATCCTCCGAATCTTAACATCTCGAAAGCCAGCATTCTCCAAATGCGCCTTTGTGCCGGCATCCTCAAACCACGTCGGTGCAAACGATTCTGCCGTCGGGGTCTCCGGCAAGTCCTGCCTAATTTCTTTGACAACCTGTAGCAAGTCCAGCCATTCAGCGTCCCTCATATTGGTTAACGCAACAATTCCACCGTCTTGGAGGATGCGATGTGCTTCCTTGATTGCTTTGGCGGAATCCGGTATGCCGCTGTATACAAACCCGGCGAGAACGTGGCTGCATTCCCCATCTTTGATGCTGGATAGATCCGTAGCATCGAGCTCCGCCGTTTCAAGCTGCCCCCACACTGCGTCCCCGCGATTGATGTGATCCCTCTGCTGCTCACGCACCAGATTGACCATGCCCTCCACGAAGTCTAATGCAACAATACGTGCGTTTTCCGGGAGCACAGTGTTGTATCTCTCCATAATGTAATTGACGATTTGGCCCCCGCCGCAGCCAACGTCTAGAATTGTGGATGCTTTTGAGAATGGGAGGGCCGCATTAGCTGTCTCTACCAACTGCACAGTAGCCTCAGAAGTGTTCCCACTACGGTGATACTTGAGATAAGTTGGAACGAATTCGGACCACACTTTGCAGGGATCTGCGGATCAATCAATAAATAGTGTACATGAATGGTGATGTAATGCTATTTTCATGTCTGGCAAATGGGTAGGAGTAGCTGACCTGGATAGATGCTTGACATGGTGATTTGCTTTGGAGTAGCAAATTAGGAATCTGGAGCTCAAGTGCTGTAGTTGAGAGGGAAATAATTTACTTAAAAAAAAATGTTTGATTGAGAAAAAGAACGAATTTTGAATAAATTTACCATCATCTCCTTTATATGTTCTTTTCTAGCCCTATGGTCAAGTTAACTTAGCTCTGAGACTTTGCACGTTTAACTCCCCGAGTAGCTCAACTTTGCCCTGGGTTGTCTATTTCGACCTTCTAGGTCGCAAGGAGCCTGCTCCAAGTTCATTTCGGTGGTTGGACCTCTAGGCCTGGAATCCTGAGAAAACATTAACTAAGCATTATCAAGAAAGCAGAAACCGCTTTTCTTGGAAGTAACCTGTAAATTGCCATCTAGAGCTTCTTCGACCAGACCACCGATATTTTTGTCGTCAACATGCCCTGTAGTGCAAAAGCTTGAAAATCACAAAACGATGCCTTTCTTGTGGCACGAGCACCTCGTACGTCAGGCGGGTAAGGGAATTGTTAGTGAGACCAAGGAAATCTGTAAGGACGTAGCAGTTCAAATCCAGAGGAATTTTATGTAGCACCTATCTGACAAGAATGGGACACAGGGAAGACAATTAATTGTATCCAGCTTCCCGATACCATGCAACTAAGTCCCCGCACCCTTCGGGAACATGTTTGTTTCTATCCGAGTTGTGTTTGATATCTCCAGGCCAGGTGCTGATGCCGAGTGTAGAGTATTATAGGAAGTTATATAGACTGGGGTTTTTGTTGACAGGGCAGGAAATCAACCAGGAAGCAAGAAAAATAACTTACAAAACCAACGTAATCCATCACTTCGCACTCACCCAAATCAAAATATCTATGCTCAACAATGACTAATTAAAATGAATTAGAAAACACTAGGATTAGGTTATCTTATTCTTGTATGCTGCAGAGGGAAAAACACAATTGCGGCATTTTCATAGGGCTCATGAGCGTGGCATCGGCTCAGAGGATGAAGGCTCAGGGGGTTAAATGATTGGCTATTCAATTAGCTCAGAAGATCCTAAGTTTCTTCCCTAGTTACACCCTTTTTAGATTGAATCCTGCATGTATATATCTCTTGTGTTTTTACTCTCTCATTCAAATTGAATATATCCTGGTATTACTTCTCTATAGTTGCAGTATTTGACTGTTTTATATTCACTAACCTTGATAATTTAATCAAATCATTTTACTAGGTTTTGAATGGGGTGTTTTAAACTCCTATTTCATAAGATTTTTTTTAACTTTATATACCCGGTGTTTGAAGCATTCAAAATAATGTAAAGTTGTTGAATTAGTTAATTGACAAAGTAGAAGTTTATAGTCAAATATTTAGCTTACTGAATGACTCAATTAGATTTAAATAAAACTATTATCAGCAGTGATAAAGTCTCTTTAAATGTTCTGAAATTTAAAGATCTTCTTTATATGTGCTGTGGAATAAATATCTAGTAAGTTTCCAATGATGTTAAAATCAAACTCTATTTACTATTTACTAGACTCTTATAGAGCATATTATAAGGATAATAAAAAAACTTATATTTAAAAAACTACAAGAAATATGATGTATATAATAAAATATGCATTTTTTTAAGTAAATATAATTAAAATCTAGCATAAATAACTGTCATGCTTATTTAAAGTAAGAAGTGTATAAGTATCAACTTTATATAAATTGTAGCAAAAATAAAAATTATAGTAAATTACTTAATTTCTATTTATCTGTAATTTAATTATTAGAATTATAATATTAAGTGTTTAGTTGTCTGAAATCTAATCAAATTAATTTTTAAAAAATATTTTAAATATGAAGATTTTAACACTCTTTAATATATTGATTGTCTTAATTATAGCAACTTAATCTTGATTTTTAAGCTATAAAAGCTTTGAACAAGTCATACACTAACTGCCTATAGTTAACTGGCTAGTTATAATCTTAGTAATAATATATAATTTCATAGTAAATTAAGTCCCATCAAAGTTTATAGATATCTTTAGTCTGAAACTCATACTTAGTAATTATATTTCCAAGGAATTTTAAATCATTTCTAAATAACTAACTCCTTTCATTTTCTCATTCAATCTGCCCTATGATTACAGTATTTGAAATAACAGTACTGAAGCTTTATACAGCATTCAGTCAACTTTAAAAACTCTGTTCTTTCCCATCGAGAGGGCAGGAATAGACAGAGCATACATAGTGAGAATATATCTCTGTTAATCTTTGTGAATCTGTATGTACGTTCACTTAATGGATTAGTTATAAATCAACTATTGAGTTCGATGGGTTAAGAGAAATGTACGACACATTAAAGAGATGTGCAGCTTCAGAGATTAGAACACTTCTTGCGGTTTTAGAGAGGTTTATCGCTAGCTTCAAGCCTTCCCTCCATCTCTGCAGAGTTTATCGCATTTTTACCGCGAATTCGTGGCATTATCGTGGGCTGAAGAGAACAGTTGAATTATTTAGTTACGTGTTTGATGAGTGGGTTCACTCAGTGGTTGGACTACGTTATACAACGTACGTGTACCTAGTTCCGTGTTCCGTAGTTATAGGATTCAAACTTGTGTATGCGGTTATCTATATCAGTATCTAAGTAGCTATTGCAGCCGTAGATAAAGTTGCAGTTACAAGTAGTTTGTAAGCTGGAGATATTTATTTGGCGGCTTGTCCCATTAGTTAATTAGTTAAATGTCCCCCTCGTCCAATCTCACGCCTTGTTCCTTGTCTCTTGTCTCTCGCGAACCTCTCAAAAATCAAAAAAAAAATTCCCAAAATTCCCAAAATAACCAACCAACCACTCGCCCGTCCCTTTTTTGTCCCTTTCTATTTTTTTCTCCATCTCCTCCAACCTCATCTCTCATGGCGTGCTGATGCTGCTCCATCTCATCCTTCCTCTTCTTCCTCCTAACGGGCTCTCTCATCTCAAGTTATGTCCTAGCTCCCTCCTAAACCCTCGCGCTTCGATGACCACTCCTCGCTGAACCCCCTTCGCTTTTGGCGCTTGCTAGTCAACACCACCACATCCCACCGAACCCCTCCCCTCCCCCAATCATTCCCCCCTCGGGCTCCCCCTCGTCAGTTCCCCATCCCTCATCCCGTCCGATCACCCAGATAACGA